CAAGTATTGCCTTTTAATGTAAAAAATTTAAAAAAATAAAAATTTTTAAAAATGGTTTTAAATCATGGTTGTTCAGCAATGATGATATTTACACTTTATATAAGGTTTGTGGTTATATTTAACAGAATTTGTGCAATAGACACTAACTCTTCCATTAAAAATTAATAAATGGGGACATGCTATCTGCTTTCTCAAGTTGTGGTTTAGCTGATGGACCATTTCTGCATCTTTTCATGTGCAATAAAAATTCATTCCTCTCAAAAAAAAATCAGATCTGCCTAACTAAGCATTTCATAATCATGCTTTCTGATATTTCATATTGAAATTTTGATGCATGAATATATTAATAGGATAGAATACATCATGTTTTAAAATAGCCCTTAAAACAGTGAAATCTAATTTTAATTAACATTTTATATAAATAGAAAAAGGATTAGTTGCTTTATAAATGCACTGGAATAATTAATGATTTTGAAAAAAAATCCATTTTGATCCTGTATTTTGAAATGTTGTATTAAAAATTCCCAACTCATTTGCCATTGAGTCAGAATCAACTCCTAGCTGACCCTCCAGCAGGTTTTCAGCAGGCTGTGTATCATGAGAAAAGATTACCTTCTGCCTGAGGAGCCTTTGGTGGATTTGAACCATCAGAGAGGCACGAGAGGCACCACCTTTCAGCTAGCAGTGCAACTACCTAAGGGCCATGAGTTCCCTCATTTTAAAACATACTTTATAGAAATCAAACCAATAGCTGTCTGTTTTGGGATCGGGATCGATTTAGAAGCACAGGGCAATTTTCTACATTAATAACAATTATACTATCAGTAAATATTCTATTAAGACTAGGGTTTTTCATAATATTGGTTACATGGGTCTGTTTGTTAGAACTTATTAAATTATACATATGTATATTCTATCATACTTAAGTATTATCTTTGGTAAATGAAGGAAAAAAATCTCCAAGATATTTTTGAATGGAGGAAAAGCAAGCTATAGCATGAAACAAAATATTTAAATATTTTACTATATACACACAAAAAAAAATAATTACCAGCAAATAATTTTTATTTTATACTTTTGTGGAACTACAGTATATAGATGTTTCTTGAGCTTGGTATCCTGTTCCTTTGTGTCAATCATGTATGCTCTTAGAGTCATTCTAGGATATAAAAGGCGGAAAGACATTTCAATTACAACATCATTAGCATAAGTTTCCTTTTTCCCACTGAGTAATAAATTCATTTATATACTCACAAGTAGTAAATGATATTCACTTTTTTGTGAATTCTAACTTCAAAATCAGTTGGGTTTTTTAAAAAATGGTTTTCTTTTTTTATACTAGTTTATTTACAAAATTCAAGTTCAATATTTTTCAGACCAGATTCTTCCAATTTTCCTCACTCTCTCTATGAAATTGTACAACCCCATGAATATTTCTGCTCTTCTGCCCAACAAATCCTCATCCCTCTGCTTCCACCCTTCCCCTCTCTCTTGGATCCTCATATTCATTCTACAATACGGTTTTATACAATATTTGTCCTTGTGGGACTGAGTTTGTTCACTCAGCATAATGCTCTCCATTACCTCCTAAGTTAGGTAATAATTTATAAAATCATTGCTTCTGTGTACTGCATAATATTCCATTGTACGAATGTACTGTAATTTCTCATTACATTTGATTGTTGTTGGACATCTGGGCTGTTTCCATATTCTTGCGATGGTGAATAATGCTGCTATGAACATTGGTGTACAAGTCTTCGTTATACCTCAGTTCTCAATATCTCATGGTATATTTATTCCAAGCAGTGGAATAGTTGGGTCATATGAATTTCTGTGTTCAGGTTATTGAGGAAGCACCAAACTGCCTTCCAGAGTGGTTGTACCATTTTTCAATCCCACCAACAGTGAAATAGAGTTCTTTTCTCACCACATGCTCTCCAGCATTTATTACTTGTTGTCCTGGTAAATTTTGCCACTGTTACTATAGTGAGATAATACATCATTGTGGTTTTGATTTGCATCCCTCTTATTACCAGTGATTTTGAGCATTTCTTCATGTGTCTTTTGACCATTCTAATATCTTCCTCTGAAAATTCTTTCCATGTCTTTTGCTTATTTTTTATTGGGTTATCTTGTGGAGTCCCAGAAGCATTCTGTAAACTTTTGTTATGAGACTTGTCTGAGATGATATTACCAAATGTTTGTTCCCAGTCAGTAGGTTTTCTTTTCACCCTGGTGGAAAAAAAGATTTTGATGTGCACAGGGATTTAATCTTTAGAAGGTCCCATTCATCAATTTTATCTTCTTCAGATAGTGCATTTCTGGCTGTATTTGGTAGTCTATTACTTAGAATAGGGCTTCTAAGCTTGATCCCAGTTTGTCTCTTATGAACTTTATGGTTTTGGGCTTTACTTCCAGGTCTCTGAGCCACCTTGAGTTGATTTTTGTGTATGCTGTACGACGTAGATCTTGTTTAAAAACCAGATGGTTTTTAATGATCTTCAATGATATTTTGCTTGTGTGTGATATCAATGATACTGTTCAATAATTTCACATTCTATTGGACCACCTTTCTTGAAAATGGAAACAAATACTGATTTCTTCTAGTCAGTTGACCACAAAGCTGTCTTCTGAATTTCCTGTCATAGACTAGTGAACACATCTGGGGATGTATCTATCATTTGAAACATGTCAGTTGGTATTTCTATGAGTTTCCTTGGCCTTGTATTTTTTTAGACCAAGTCTTCAGTATAACTTGAACATCTTCCTTCATAACCACTGGCTCTTGATCGCATTGAACTTACTGAAATATTTCCGTGTTGGTCAGTTCTTTTTGGTACAGTGATTCTGTGTGTTCTCTCCATCTTCTTTTAATGCTTCTTGGATCATTCAAGATTTTGCCCATAGCATCCATAAGTATTTCAACTCAAGACTTGAATTTGTTTTTCAGTTCTTCTAGCTTTAGAAATGAGCAAGTTCTTCTCTTTTTATTTTCCCACTCTAAGTCTCTGTACATTCCATTATAATACTTTGCTTTGTCTTCTCAAGCTTCCCTTTGAAGTCTGTTCAACTCTTTTACTTCAGCGTCTCTTTCCTTATTTTGGATTCTATATGCTCTCATGCAGTTTTCAGGGCCTCTTCTGACATCCGTTTTGATGTATTACTTTCTCCTCTGCCTTTGTAGTGTCCTTTTGCTCTCTTTATGGATGATATCCTCGATGTCATCCTACAATTCATCTGGTTTTCTGTCATTGGTGTCCAATACTTCAAACCTATTCTTTTTTTTTTTTTTGGTGAGAAAAATTTATTGCATTTAGAATTAGCCCGCTGGACTCAGTTTAGATGATCCCAATTTTGTTGGCAACATCCAAAGCATCATA